AATATGTTTGACTTTAAAGTGTAAAATGTATTTCATGAAATTGTATTCATAATTTAATGTAAACTATTTGAAAGTTTTAGGGAATTCATATTCCTAAGCTTGTTTTTGTTAAATTTGTTTTATGTTAATGTTTAAGATTGTATTTAATAATAGTGCCCTACGTATTTCTGTTTTATGCTTAAAATAGTTCTGGAAGAGAAGAGATTTGCATATATAATTGCTTCAAGTTACACAGTTTTGTTTACTGACATATTCTTGAAAGTTAAAGAAATATGAATGAATCCCATGTTCCATTTAGCAATTTTGTAGCAAAACACTGCATTCCTTCAAAAATTTTACTGCAGTTCCTTCCATTGCTAGCAAATTCCACGAGTGCATGTTTTAAAATTGAGTTCTCAAAATAAATATGATTATTTGTCTATAAAAACCATTGGAATCTGGCACACAAATGAAAAGAATGCATTTAAAATTTCTGACGCTTCTTGTTAACTCTTTAAAGGGGAGGTGCATATAAAATATACTGGTTGTTTGCCAATTTTTTAACCTCCTAAAAAATGCTAATTTTTCTACACCAAAAGCTAAAATCGTCAGTTTCTAGTGTTTCCTTTCGATTCTAAATGGCAGTACCACTCTATGAATGCTCAATATTTTGCAGTTGTGAAATTAATATATTTGTTCCAAGGTATCATATTTGAAAATTCATAAATTCTATTGGAGGGGAAGAAAAAATTTGAAATCTGCAAATATACGCTGAATCTTATATATTTACTTCATTTGAATCAGAAGTGATAATTAACAGAAGATTATTTATAAGATCTTAAAACCGATATATAATATATACCGGTGCCCACACTGAGGGCAACACCTGTCTTCTCCTTTTCTACTCTGTGAGATGACAGAATTTCTTTATATTATAAGTATATGATATATTATTTTTTATGATTAATTTATAAGTTGTTTAGGTTTCAATATCATGTTCACGAAGGGAGGGGTAGTTTACTGACTCTGTGCTAGGACTGAATACAAGTCAGGGTTCGTACGGTCCTCGAGTCCTTAGATTTTTTGGAATCGATTTTTGGTCCTTAAAAGTCCTTAATTTTGGCCAAAATGAACAGAAGGTCCTTAATTTCTGTCTGTTTTTACGACTGTCATTTTGAGTGTGAATTAGCATTTTGAAGAATATTTTTGGCAATTCACTGCTGTATGTATGGTAATCTTTTGAATGGGTTCATGAGTTATAATTTGTTTCTATTTCTAATATAAATGATGGGATACTCGAGTTTCTAAGCAAGAAGTGAAGCATAAGCATTTTAAAGTTCATTTTTTCTAGTAAAGAGCTTTTAAACAACTTTTTGCTTTAGGGAATGTGAATTCTTTTATTAAACGGTTCTAAATTTGGCAACTTTTCAAGATTTTGGCTATTTTAAGATTAGTTTCTATAGAAACTTTTTAATTCCAAAATCTGAGAATTTTTTGACGATTTTTTTTTTTTTTAAACATCGTAACATTGATAAATTCTATTAAAATAATGGTAATATATTGAAATTATATTTAAAAAATAACATTAAAGTAAAACATTTTTATTTATCGCTGTCATATTATAAAGTTTCATTTTGGCAACTTATTTAATATTTTAAATCTGAAAAATAAACAAGGTATAATGCTTTAAAGCACAATTTACTAAACAGCTCTTAGCAAAAGCAAAATTAGCTATGTAATTAATTAAAAATGTCTTGTTTATAATTTTTTCATAGTAAGAGTTTTTCCCATGAAACTGTCTCAGAATATTCAAAATTCTCAGAATGTGCAGTAGTTTTCTCTATAAAATTAATTTTATACTTTTTCCCTCCTATTTTTTCCAAAAATTTCTGGCATTTTTTGTTACAGAAATGGTAGGGATAATTTTTTAGGATTTTAGAATTGCAGCTCAGAAAGTTTGAAGGATTTGAATGGCAAGATTTATAGACCACGATTCTAGAAGATTCGAGAAAATATGTGACAAAATGAAAATGTCTTCATGGTATCAACACGTAGTGGATGTATTTTGCAGAAAGTTTGCAATGAATTTCTTAATTTTGAGAGAACATCCGGAAGAACAATGAAAATATAATATTTGAATGTATTACTTCTGATACTAGAATCTTAACATGTTAATCTTCTCTTTATTTTCTCTACTTTTCACTGGACAGAAGCATGGAAAATATCAAAAATGCTTCTGATCTTATCACATGGGCAGGCATTATAGAAAGGGATTTTTTAATTAATAAAGAAATTGAAAACTTAAATTTAAAAGATTCATCTAATATTTCTTAATGCATCATACACATAGCTGACACTAGGCATTTTCCCACCTGATGCAATCTCTGTGGATCCTAAATTCTGCTGCTTACTGCTTTTCTAAATTCTTCCAATGCTTGCTCTGAATTCTAACAGTTTTGCCATTTCTAGATTTTGTTGTTCGGTGTGCCACTAAATTCTAGAAATTCTGCCACATCATCTCTGTAACCGGGGCTTTACTATATATATTTCATGTTGCTTCTGAATTTTCATATTACTAAAGAAATAAAATTAGCCGCTTTTTCTGTACATTCTAAATGCATTTAGTGTTTTTTAGAATAACTGAAATCCTTAATTAAATCCAAAATTTCTAAAATTAAAAGGAAACTTGTTGAAGAAAAAACTGAGTACATAAAGGAAATTATTCTTCAAAGATATGTACAGTTATTATTATGTAAATTACCCATTTTTTTATGATTTCAACATTTACTATAATTTCCCATTTCTATTTCCTCGTATGATAAGAGTTATTGAGCCAGATGTATGATCTTTGTATAATCTTTGACCACTAGTTTGAATTTGACTGTTCTTGTTTAATTACATCGCCGTGAGCTGTAATTGATTTTGTTAGCATCAGAGCATGCCTTTATGTTCTCAGTTCTTTTTAAATAAGAGGCTCATTTAAACCTTTGTCCAATATTGTAGTTAATTTCAGACATAGCAATAATATGCTTCACGTCTGTCGGGGGTTTTGGACTATCTAATTTTTACCAGATCAATTAAACCGTCTTAGATACATTATGGAGAGGTTGACAGGTTAGGAGATGAAGCACGCAGAAGCTAGTGAGAGCATTGCTTTGCATATTGAGACAAATCTCTAATTGTTTGAAAAGATGCTTAAAAGAGAAGGAAATCGATATAAACATTCAAATATGACCAACTATTATAAGTGTAAAATATTTAATGCTACTTGATAAATTGCGTAATTTATTTTACTCTCAAACTTATTAACAATTATGTTAATTAATTCATGTTTAGTAATAATGCGTACTACTTAGGGATCTATTTAATTTTTAGGATGGTATTACAAAAGTGAAAATCAGGCATAGATAATATCTTCAATTGAATTTATCAAAGTCCCGTTTGCTTATAGGTCCTTAATTTTCTTCATTAATGGTCCTTAAAAGTACTTAAATTCCATGTGCAGAAATGTGTACGAACCCTGCAAGTATATTAGTTTCCTTTTATTTTTTGTTTACTCGAGTTTCATTCATCTCTGTTTAGCTAAAATCTTAATTTCTATACTTCACCCTTTCTCAAGAGAAAAACTCATGTATTTCAAAATTGTCGTCTAGGCTCAAAACTTTACACAGTTAAATGTGGCATTTTAGCATGTTGCTTCGTGTTTTCCAAAATCCTAGAATGCAGCAAAAATGAAAAGAGGTGATTGACAACGGATTTGTCATTCGGGCATCACACCTTCTTCCCTGTGTGTGATAACGTCAACAAAGGGAAAGCTCACTTAAAAATACGGGAAATGGAAATGCAGTTAAGGTCCATCTCTTTGTGTAATCACAAAAACTGCTGATTTGAAAGCATGCTTTTATTCTTTAGGGTATCATCTCTATTAATTTCAGATTAAAGACTAGGGAACTCAAAGAAAATTTGTCCTCTGGGTTAGGATAAATAGGTTGTTTTCGAAATAAATTTTCACAGTTGGTGAAAGAAGGGAAAATATTTCTAAGGCCTATTTTAGATGCAAACCAAAATTTATCCAATAGTTGAAAAGGAGCCTGTAGGAGGCCAAAGAGGTTGAAAATTGAAATAAGAGCTTTGAGGTGTATAAAATAATAAAGTTGTTTAACGGTGTTTCTTTCTGAACAAAAAAGATGTATTACAATATATATTTACAAAAAATAAAAAAGGGGCCATTACGATCCTCGATAATCTAAAGAGTGTGTGTTGGGGGGGGGACTCTTGGTATCATAGCATGAAGCATGGTCTTTTTACATATTATCTAAAGCATAAAATATAACTTCAAAAATGCAACATATTATCTCAGCTGAGTCACAGTCTTTGATTTTTCGATTTTTTTTATTTTTTGACTGAATTCATCTCCTTGTAATATTGCACTAGTTCAGTTACAGCATGACACATGCAGTGTTATATTTGTTAATTTTTTTTATAAAATAATAAATAATATTGAATTTAAATCAAGTTAAAAAGCTTTTTTACCCATATTTTATGTAAGTATGTTCAGCTGGGTTGCATCATCAAAGTGCATAAAAACATAAATTTTATTTGTAAAATTTTAAATTTCTAGCAAAATTTTAAAAGTTTTTGTCTTCAGACGTACATAACTGTATTCAAGCACCCATCTCTACAAACGCATATCAGAAAAACACAAAAATTAATTAAAAAACCAAAAATTAACATTTGGCAGCTACCTGGAAAAAAATATCTTAGAGGTGCACCATTGTAAAATATATACCGGCTCTCAAAATTCAGGATTTTGTTCTAGATTTTTTTGAAGTAACAATTTTGTGTCGGCATGATTTCCAACTGAGAACATATACACTCTAAAAGCACTTTAGAATATTTGCTGGTGGCATTTTTCTATTTCATTTCGTCACTTTTATATGATATATATTTTTTTATTTATGTTTATGCAATTGTATTTTTATTAATGTCATATTTTAATTACTTTAATATTTGTGTATTAGTGGCTAGAGAAAATTGCTGCTTCTATTTGTGGTGAAAGTGTTATGGAATATTTCCCGAAGCAATTTATTCTTGAAGTAAAAAATGTGAAAGAATTAGAAAAAAAAAATCACATTTTAAGCCAGGATTTGAAATTATGTCAAGAAAAAGTAAGTATTTTTATATATATAATCAAATTTATGTGTGCAAATTTATGTGTATCAAATTTATGTGAATTTTGTTAAACTTTTCTTAGCAAATTGGGTGGTATAATTTCTGGCTGCTAAAAATGTTTTATTTTGTATCTTTAAATTGTAGGCAAATGATTTTATGTCTTCACAGCGAGCCGTATTCAAAGAACACAATTTTGTAGCAAAGGTAATTATAATGGAAGACTGAATTTAAATTGTCAGTATGTGATCGTATTCATTTATTAATAATTTTATAAAATCTCATATTCCGATTTAAATTTGTGTTTCAGTGTATTTATTATAAAACACTACACTGACTTTATGTAGAACTTTAATTGTGTAATTATTTTTGTACTGCAAAAAATGCTAAAGTTGAAAATTTGTTGCTTTTGTAATTTTTTAGTGCTTATTAAAATGTAAATTTTTATATTCATATAGATATAAACAGTTAAGAAACTTTTTAGAAAAAATAATAGAATTGTGCTTTCATTTAATTTTAATGGTGTTATAAATAATATTGTTTATTTTCGGATTTCAGGTTCCTTGCAGAACTGTTGGTGTAAATGTAAAGATATATCGGGTATGTATTCTTCCTTACAAAAAATATAACCTTGTCTTAAAAAGGTATAAAATTGTTTTAGTTACTTACTGTCATACCCTCATCAAACAGACTTTTTAAGTAGTTTTGTAATGTTTAATATGTGCATCAAATACTATACAGTCAAAAGTCGTTAATCTGGACTTGTCGGGACTTCGGCGATTCCGAATAATACATTATCAGTTTAAATCTGGTAAGAAGGCATGCAGAAATTATAAAATTAAAAATATTAAACCGTAATTTATGAAATAAGAACAATTATGATCTAAAGGGTATCAAAATTTACAAAAAAGAAAAAAAAAAAAAAAAAAAAAAAAAGCTTAATATCTATTTGTTTACTTTATTAAACATTTCTTTCAATGTAAGTTGTTTAAGTTGCTTTGTTTTATGTGCTAATACTTTCTCTTTAATTCTATAAACAGACATAATTTCTTATTCAGTTACAAAGTTCCGCTGTTCAAGTCCTGTAATTGCTGTGCTGAGAATACCGACTAACTTGTCAATCGAAATTCTTTCGTTTTCACTAACCTCTCAGTCACTTTCTTCATGCCTTTATCCATTTTTTGCAGCAATTCCACTTTACGTTTGATGGTCATTGAAACATACTTTCGCTTTGTAGATCCTTTGGGAGCTCCAGCATCGGAAATTCTATTTGACATAATCGAAAGTTCAAGCTTACTTTTATAACATTGCTCTAACAGTCTGCAAAAAATAATAAGCCGGATCTAATTCGAAGATTAAGGAACAACGCAATCTGCAACATTAACCGAAATAGATAATTTTAGCTTATACCGTCCATTATACATTAAACGCGCATGCGTAAACGTATTATGCGCTTGCGCACATGCATACGCGCACGCATAAACGCCTATGCGCATGCGTCAACGCGATGCATGCGCAGAAAGTTTGTAGTTTTGAGGTCCGGATTATAGATCATTCTGGATTATGTGTGTCCGAATTAACGACTTTTGACTGTATTTTTTTTATTTTCTAACATTCTGAATAAATTTTATTTTTGTGTTAATTGTAATATTTAAATCATTAGCAGTTTACAAATTTATTTTTATTGCTAAATTGCTTATGTTTTATATTAATATTTTTTCAGATTATTTTTATTTGTCAGTAGTGTCTTTTTTATGTGGAGCAATAAATATACTGATACTTAACTTGTTATAAATGCAAACTTATCTTCACCTTTGAAAGAAATTACATCGGGATATGCAAATGTAAACAAAGCATCAGAAATCTGCTTTTACTGTATCTTAATTAATTGTTAACCTCATGTACTGTATCTTAATTAATTTTTATGTTCAGAAAAAATAAATTTGTATATTCTACTCTTAGAAAGAAAATGAAAACACTGAAATAATTTGAGAATTTCTGCAAATTTTGTAAGATTCCTTATATATTTGAGGAAGAGAATGTGGCCAAAATAAATAGGTATCATCTTTCTTCCTGTAAGGTGGTGGAGAAGCTATGGTACCTTATTCTAGAGCAATATTTTCTAAAATAATTTTCTGGTTAACAATTTAATACAATTTTTCATTACTTATCTGCAAACCTTTATGAATTTTTTTGTTACTTTTACAAAAGCTATTCTAATTTTATGATCTTATATGCACAGTTTTATGAATAATGCAGTTTTTTACACCACCACCAAAATTCTGAAGTTTGGCAGTTACTCATTAAATTTCACAATTTTGTCATGGTATTTTGAAAACATACTTGTGGGATATATTTGAATTTGCCCTCTTAGTTATGTGAGGAAAAAATTCTCTTTTTTTGAAGAGTAAATTACAAAATTTTGATGATTTCTTTTCAACAGTTTGGCTATAAAAATTGATGATTTTCAAATTTCATAATTTTTTTTTCTTTTTCTGTTTCTTTTTTTTTTCCATTAGCAAACATATTAACAAAGAATCTTTCAAATAATGATACTTTTTTGAAATTACATTATTTTTTGGTGGAGGGTAACACAAAAATATAACTTTTTATTTCCTTCTCTCATTGTTTTAAATTCTTTAGCTTTCATATTTGGTAATTTTTTGAATATTTTGGTTGTGAAATTTATAAAAGGAAAAAAAAAAAAAAAAAAAAAAAAAAAGGGAGAACTGTAAATATGTTAAAAGAAATTTTCATTTTTTATGATAAGTGCCATACCTAATTGATTCTTTTTTTTCCCCTGACATATAATAATTTCTTGCTTAATTTGTGCTTTTTCAGAAAAAAATTTTTTTTTGCGCTCACAAAATTGCCAGCTATGTCATTGATTTATTTTGCACAGAACAAATAAACTCAAGAGAAAAAAATAAAGCAAGACTACTAAATTATGCACTTTCTTTTAATTCTTAATTTTTCTTCGATCAAAAACACAATCTCATCACATCCCCGAGTCCAGGGTGTTAAAAGATTCACTTGCTTATTGGAAGCGATTTATATGAGAGACTGTTAACAGGGAAAATGAAACACTTGAGAAGAAATTAGGCTGAATACCATTGAAACTGAATTAGGTGGGGCCGTTTGTGAGCCAACCTCTGATGAAAGTGAAGTTGGTATTTCGTTGGCGATTTTTGCTAGTATGGTTGTAAGAGATCTGGAAGTTTCTGAGCTTTGATGGTTAAAAACAGTTAGCAATAAAGATCGTGGAGAATGTCGCACTGAAGCAGCAATAGAAGAAGAAGAGGCTCAAGAGCATTTTTTGAAGACAGCAGAGGTAAGGATAGCTGCTATTACATTGGTCTTCACTGGTTTAGGGGCACCCAGATAGTCCTTCCAACTGAGGTATAGTGGAAAGACAGCTCTTAATATGGAACAAGAAAGTAATAAATATTGAGAATATCATAACATCTTTAAGGAGGTGAAAAAGAAGGAATTGCAGAAAATGTGCTAATGGAAGATTCAAATTCAAAAGGATATTTATTAGCATCTATACCACTGAGCTAACAAATCCGACAAATCTGATAGTATTACTGAGGTAAGACCTCATGGTCTTATTCATATAAAATACTTCATTTAACAATTGTCTTGTTAAAACATCATGGAGCAGATATCAACATTTATATTAAAATTCAAAGCAAGGCCTATTGAAGTAATTTCAGATGTACGACTCTTCCCCCTTCCAAAAAGAGTTGAAAGAAGATCATGACTACTTATGGCAAGAATCGAATTTAAATATCCAAGTTTTTGGACACAGAAGAATGGATTTGGGTGGTTACATGTAGTCTTTTCCTACTGGAAATAGTAAACTACTATCTTTCCAAAGTCTCAAAGAAATTAAAATCTGCACAAAAACTTTTTAAGTCTTTTTATATTGATAACTGCATTACATCAGTTAGTAATAAGTACAGATTAAAAGATTTTGTAATTAACTTTACAGAAATATTTACATAAGCTAAAGGGGACTTTAAAAATATGGCAGTATATCAAATACAGTACTGACAAATGAAGACAACTCTGTGAAAGTCATTGGGATCAAAAAGGGGAATTTCCCCCTGTAAATATTGGATGTATAAAATTTTCTCTTAATAGTACATTGAGTTGGTTTTACATTTTTTTCTTCAGTTTATTAATTTCCCATGGAAAGAGAATCTTTTGATAGTCACAAAACCTTTGCTGAAACTTTCTATTGGTTGACAGAATCAGATTTGTATTTTTTTCCTTCTTTGTTTTCGATAATAAATGGACCATTTTTTGTTAACATTCATTTAGGTAAACCCATGCTTTATCAAGGCTCTGAATGTTTATGTCATTTAAAAGACAATTCCCTTAGATTGTGAGAAAATGATTAATCACCTTAAGATGGCACTCCATAACATCTTGGATGTACTCTATAAAATAATTACTATGTGAGTTAGGAGATTAAAATATGAATTGGAATTTGTCAGCATGTTCCTCACACCACTGTAGCACAATTCTGGCCTTGTGTCGAGGAGCATTGTCCTGATGAAAAAAATGGATTTCTGGTAGAGAAGATAGAGGCAATAAAAGAGTGTAATTGGTTAGCATCGGAATTCCTATATTTTGCTGTTATAATGTGCTCTATTGCAATCTTGGATTCTAAGCAACATCTTTAAAAATACCCTGTAAAGCATAACATCTCCACCGTTAGCCCTTTTATATTCCATAGTATATGTGCTAATCACCTTTTCATCTGGAAAATGGTGTACCTTGATATGGTAGTCAACATAATAGTTTAAAAAAAAAAAAAAAAACTGATTCTTCTGGTTAAGCAAAACTTTTCCTTGTAGCATGGTTCTAGTCACAATGCTCGGAGTTCCACTGTTGTTATGAATTAACAAAGGCACATTGGAGGCATCTGCTGTAAGGTTCTATACTCAAAAGAATTCAATGATCTTTGTGTTCAGGTACATTTGCCTTTGGATTTGCACTGTGCAATTGGAGTCTGATTGTTTCATCAGATATCTGGAAGTATGCAACAAGCTCACAAGTTTGGCTACTGTCACTCTCTATGCTGCTCTCAGGGCCTCATCGTCCATGGCTTGTGGCCGACCGCTGTGTGGTGCATCACTAACAGACATATCCCCTAACCTGAAACCATTGCTTAGCAGTTCGTTCGTTACAGCATCATCCACAAGGCCTGGCAAATTCAGTGACTTGATTCTGCTGCTGATAGGCCCACTTTAAAATCATACAGGGAACAACTCCAAACAAGTGCCTTTGACGCATCCATTTCAATCAGTCGCTGTGCGAGTTATGTTTGAAGTACTGATGCAACGCACTTTTATACTCTTAATTAATGTCCAAACCCCCATCCTAACCACTTCATCGGCAGGTTTAGCGACTATTTTTATGTTGGGGTTCACTCTTCCAATGTCATTATCAGAAATGGCAAGAACTTGATTGGTTACCTTGTATCTAAGGTTTGACTTGAAAACAGTTAGGGCTCAGATTTAGAAAAGTTTGTATGTGTGAGATATTTGGATTAAATTTATACAGGTGTTTGTTATTTCCTATAAGCCAGAAGAAAACCTTGTTGCGGATGAGTAGTTATTTCCATCCAAAGCCAGGTATAAGTTAATATATAATATATGAAAATCTTCCTCGAAATGTAGTAATGCGTCTTCTAAACCATCATCTCAATTCAGGTACAAATTTGACCAGGGACAGTTGTTTTTTCTCATTATAATTACATAAAAGACTTCAAATAAAGAATATAAGTTTTGAGGACATAGTAAGAACACATCGAAAAGAAATTCCGCATGAAGCAAGGAAGTCAAAAGCCTGGCTATTTAAAACAGTTTTGCTAAACAGTAGTGGAACTACACTGATGGTATATCAGAGTAAAAGGAATAAAAATGTGCAGTTACTAAGTACCTTACATCTAAATGTAAATTTAGACTCACAAAATAAGAAGAAACTTAAAGAAACAGTAGAATTTTACTACAAAGTGGAGTTGATATCAATGACCAGATGATGTGTAAATATTCCGTTCCAGTTGCTTCATCTAGATGGCCTGTGTATGTTTTCTATAATGTGTTGGATTTAGCAGGAACAATGCTTATATGCTGAAACAATGCTGAAATTGTGGTTAACTTACATAAAAGAACTGCTGGAGCTCTTTTATTTAAGTCTGTGGTGCGCTTCAGCTAAAATTATGATTTATCTCAAAAATCAAGAAGCATCAAAATCAGGCTGCACTGGACTCCGGTGCATTTTAAGCTGTACACACTTAGTGCATTTTAAGCTTAGCTTAGCTTACTACCATCACTCATTCAGTGTTACTGTAAGGAATAACATATGGCTGAAATTATTTGTCACCATTTGGACTGATACATTATCTGAATCTAATTTTTCTTGCATTTTAGTGTCTATCATATATAGTATTTTAATTAATAAATGTTAAATTATAAGTAGTATTTCGAATATTAAATGCATGAAAGTCTTGATTAAAAAAATAATCATCTTTCTTTTCATAGGAATGTGATATAGTCAGTGCTTCAACTCCTGAGCAGATTCAGTCATATAATGCTATGGTAATAAGAATTTTTCCTCTTCAATTAAAGAAAAAAGATTTTTATTAAAAAGTATTGCTCAGTTCTTTGCCTTTCACATGACCATCTTTTTGGCTATACAGTCAAAAGTCATTAATCCGGACTCGTCGGAACTTCGGTGATTCCGGATTATAGATCATCAGTTTAAATCTGGTAAGATGGCATGCAGAAATTATAAAATTAAAAATATGAAACCGTAATTTATGAAATAAAGAACAATTATGATCTAAAGGGTGTCATAATTTACAAAAAAAAAAAAAGCTTAATATTTATTTGTTTACTTTATTAAACCTTTCTTTCAATGTAAGTTGTTTAAGTTGCTTCGTTTTCTTTGATAATACTTTCTCTTTAATTCTATAAACAGACATAATTTCTTGTTCAGTTACAAAGTTCCGCTGTTCAAGTCCTATAATTGCTGTGTCGAGAATACCGACTAATTTGTCAATCGAAATTTTTTCGTTTTCAATAACCTCTGCGTCACTTTCTTCACTATCCAAAACAAATTATAATGATGAAGAATTTGATTTAAATCATATCAAAGACGGAATACATTGAGATGAAATACTACATTTAGTAAGGAATTATAAGCCAAATAAAATGAAAACATCTGCCCTGAAGGTAAGGATAGTGCTGCCAGACCCCGCCGCAGAGCAGCGTGAAATTGATAAACAGATTTCGGAATGGTTAGGTCATATTTTGCAGCAATGCCACTTTTGTTTAATGGACTTCGAAACATACTTTCGCTTTGTAGATCCTTTACATATTAGTAAATATATATCAGAAATTCTATTTGACATAATCGAAAGTTTCAAGCTTACTTTTATAAAATTGCTCTAAACAGTGTGCAAAAAATAATAAGCCGGATCCAATTCGAAGATTGATTAAGGAACAATGCAATCTGCAACATTAACTGAATTAGATAATTTTAGCTTAGCTTATACCGTCCGTTATACATTAAATGCGCATGCGTAAACGTATTTTGTGCATGCGCACACGATATTCGCAGCCGTAAAGGTCTTAACGCGCATGCCTCAACGGGATGCATGCACGGAAGTTTGTAGCTTTGAAGTCTGGATTATAGATCATTCCGAATTATGGGTGTCCGAATTAATGACTTTTGACTGTACATGGGAATTTTCGTGCTTTATAAATTAACTTCAGCAACTTTGATGTTGAAATGTATATATTTGTACTACATATATGAATGCATTCCATCATATGGAATGCTAATTAAAAAGTTTTAATAGATGTACTTTAAAGTAGTTAGCAAATATATTCCAATGTCTATCAATTAAAATCTTCATGGTTGGTCTCAAAAAATGAATTTGTGCAGTTGTCAGTCTTAATGAAAATTTCTAAACATAAGTTTCTTTTGAGTTGGCAACTGTACATTTTTTAGGGTTACTGTTATATAAATTTTAATTTTAATTGTGAGAATATTTACTTTTTATGAAATAATTACGATATGTTCAATATTAATAAGCTTTTAAAGTGGTAGAAATATGAGGGTTGTTATTGTGTAATTTTTAATTTTAATTCTGGAATGCATTTACTGTTTTACAAAATAATTATGAAATGTCTGGTTATTAATAAGCATGTTTAATGTGACAATTATGTCTTTTAAACATGAGCAGAATGTAAAATGGGATTGATTTATTTATGCTTTTTCATCTTTCATTTTTGGTGCTCATAAATCTTATGCAAAATAATTTCCCGGAGAATTAAAATGCTGTGTATCCATATGGATTAAAATTATCAAATGTTTCTGAATTGAAAATGCAGTATTTAAAACTGTTAGCTTCTGCCTCAGTCTGCAGTTTTCTTTGGCTTATAGATTGCCATGCTTTCAGACTTTAGTTCTTTGTAATACAAATGCTTCGAAAGTTCAGAGTGAAGTGGACTTGTCAGTGAAATGCACAAATTAGAATTCTGAGTAAAATGCACAGATTAATAGCCCCTTGCAATTTAATCTCTAAGTGTTGAGAGTTGTGCACTGTGCTTTTAATAAATCCTGATTTAAAAAAAAAAAATTCATAGTTTGATTTGTTAGTTTTGAGCGTGTAACACCTGGAAACATATGGGTTGGAGGCTTTTTTTCCCTCAGAAGTTACAACCTCTGTCCAAGGTTTGTGTCTGAAGGAAAGAAGTCTGAATTCAGAAGTTAGTATTATTAAAATAAAATTTGTTTGCTGAAATTGTGGTTAACTTACTTTTATCTTTGCAGTGAAACATGTTGTAAAAAATTGAAACTGATTTTTTTAACAATGATATACTTAATTGTGTAAGTAGAGCTGATTATGATAAGGGGAAAAGCTGCAATTTCTATTCATAGATATTATGTGAACGTGAGTTAGTAGTTATATGCTATATATTAGTTAATATACTAAGGGTTTTAAGCTCTAGGAACTGTGCTCTGGTTTAATTACTAGAACTTGCAGGCAATTGCCCTTAACCCTTTGACGCGTGCGATATTATTTTTATAATTTTTTTAACTAAAAACTCTAGAAATTGAATATTATGATCCTAGAGACAAATAATATATGAATTTAAAAAAAATCTACTTTTGCCCATTGTTCTGTGGGTGGTGGTCGCACTGTGAAACCATTGCGCGTCTAGGACTTTGAAACTTACTGAAGTAGTAGAGGAAAAAAACTTACCTTTCTCCGTGTGCGTTTCCGACAAATTACGAAATTTATGAATTTTTAAAAAAATGTATGTAAGAAATGCATTATATATAATTTTTTGCATTATTTTACAAAGTAAATCGTCAGAAAAATTAAAAAATAAACATTTATTTAATTTTTCTATAGCAGTGAAAATATAAGTACCTGCATAATAAGGTCATTTGGCTAAATGGATTAAACACTCAGTAAAATAAGGATAAAAAATCTGATGTGTACACCACATGACTTCCTCGTACGGAATATCAAATTATATGCATTTTTTCTTGCATTTTATTTAAACTTATTAGATTGAATTAAACCTACTTCGCCGACAGCGCATAAACCACAATAGAATAAATGCATTCTTTAAAATTCACTTTGTTACCATAGCGACACTCTGGTGCTAGGTTTACTTAACAGTATTATATTTCATTCATATTATAACTCAGAATGCACAAAATGTATATCATTTAAAGAATTATCTAATCGTTGCCACATGTTCTATTCAAATACTATAATAAAGCTAGAACTATGTATAAAAGAAATTAAGCAAACAAAACAAAACAGAAACGGTTTTTCACAGATGATTGAGTATTTCTCATTTAATTAATTCAGTTCTCACTTCGCGAGAAGGCAAAAATACATAAAAACTCAAAATATATTAATAATTGCGAAGTAAATCTCAAACGCTTATTTCCACGAAAAAATTCCACAAAAAATTAAGCATGATTTAATTTTGGCAATAATAAATGAATGCATTATCTTTGTTGTTGCGAAGCTAAGTTTCTCTAGATTGGCAACAAATCCACTAGTCTCCTGTTTCAAATGTAAACGTCAATGGCCGGCATTAAAAACAGGCTTAGCGGCAATTAAACAACTTTTAAAAATTGCTGATAATTCTAAAAATATGCGCACAGATTACTAAAGGCATAAAAATCCTTAACCGGAAGATAAAAATAACATAATTCAATCATTTTTAAAGCAAAAAATGTACAATTTACAAACATATAAGAGTAAAGAAACTGAGATCACTGAGCCGGGTAATAGAGTGGATATGTATATAAATATATTTATATATGTTTGGTGCGGCCGATTGCAACCAAAATACGAGGTGCACATCTACATGTTATAGCAGTCCTATATACAAAATTTCAACGTTCTGAGGCTACTCGTTTTTTAGCTATGCGAGATACGTACGTACGCACGAATGTACGTACATAAGTTCGTACAGATGCCACGAAAAATTCTCTTCAGAATTAATTTAAAGCAGTTTTATATATATATATTTTTTTTTTTTGAAGGAAAAGAGTATTTTGTTCTGTCCTTACGTACAGATATGACGCAAAAACATCGTTAAATTGCATTCGATAGCGTCAAAATGGATATTTTCATTTAAATATGCTGCCTGAAACTTTTCGCGATTACAATACTTCCTTTTAACTTTGTACAAGGAAGTAAAAAAGACAGAGTGTTTTTTTTTTATTTCAAAGAGCAAATTTTCTGTGACACTGTTCAAAGCGTGTTTTGTCTTTTTGGTACATGCATAGACCTACATTGCACATTTCGCACATGTATCTTCTATGAGGTTTCTTTCTTGTGCTACAAAATGTACGCAGCCTGGATCTAATTTCACTCGTATATGTCCAGCATTATTAGGTTCTTCTCATCTGGCACATGAACTGTGTGGTTTTTTATGTTAATGGGGGGGGGGGCTTGGTCTTTTTGTCTTTGGTACAGATCATTCATTTCCCATTCATACTTATTTTATTCGTATTTCGTCCCAAAATATTCGGAAAATATTTTTAATTTAAACAAAACTGTAGGCAATTTCTATTTTTATTATAGTAAAATATATTTACATTAAATTTAAACCACAGGAAATAATTTATAAAACACAATACTAGCTTGGGGAGCAAGTGTGTTGAGGTCAGAGAAAACTCTCTGGAAAAGAAAGACCTTTTTACTGGGCAGGTGCATGTATTGTTTAATAATAAAATAACTCTGTAATTTCAAAACCCCTTATCTATATCAGGGGTAAAAATAAACATTCCTATTTGAGAAGCAAGCAAACGCCATTGTGAAGAGCAGTGGTTTCAAGGTGCGACCACCGAGCCTCTAGAGCCTTGTGACGCAATACTGTAGTGGTGCAGTAGTGGCGCTCTGAAACCACAAAGCAAATGCCATATATATAGAGGGGTTTTTTTATATATGCAGTTTAATTATTGCTATTTTTTATCGTTTATGATAGAAATCATATATGTGATGAATAACTTTTGAAATTAAAACTTAACCATGTTTATTCAGCTGTACCGTGCAGTATTGTTTAGTCTAACTCAGTTGTCTGACTGATGCACGCATGCTTTTGCAACACTGCTTTTACATCCGTGGAAATGTGAAGAGCAACTTTAAGAAATTGCTCAATATCTGTGAAGAATTTTCTGTTTCCACATTTGAAAAAACCTTTACTGAATGTTCAATTTGAGAACTTAACAATGCCATAAATGGCTGGATTAAGGGGACACTGAAAAATTTCTTTGAGGATGACTTGAAAAAATTAGTTTTTTTGAAAAAATTAGTTGAGATAAGTGTTTTTAGTTAAATGAGGCTTATGTTAAAAAATTGCATTATAATAATGATGAAAATTGACAAAATAAAAAAATATATGCTTTATATCGTGGAATTTTGAAAACATCTCTATAATAATAATAATCAGTCAGCTGTAAAAAAGCTGCTATTTTTAGCTGTTATCATACATAAGTTGAGAATGCTATATAAACTAGATAGAATTTTTGGATTTCTTGATGCAGTTAAAACATTAGCATCTACTTTCATATGGTAACATCAGAAATTTGTGTTTATAATTTCTGTAAAAATTTTTGATAAAACTTTTTATTTTAGATGCAGAATAGCAGCATTTGTGGAAACAGTAGAGTGGTATGTACTTTTCATATATATATACATATATATATTTATCTTTCATTACATAATTTGTAATATTCAAGCTGCCATATCTGGGGTCATGAAAATTTATAGTGGGGTCACAAGGTGGATAAAAATCCTAGAAAGTCTGAATGGATGGTATATATGTCATTTACATTTTTATGGAGTTGCACTGCCATAAATTTTGAATACCAGTTATAATTATGTGTGTGCTGCTGGAAAATAAATCCCAACACCAAGAAGAAATCAGTGTATAGAAAGGAACTGTAGGCAGCATCTGTCTAAAATATGATTTCAGTACAAACATGATTTCCATGTTCATAGTGGCATTTCTAACACCACATATATTTGTCTTGTGAAAAATCTGAATTAATGTCATCTGTCTTATGTGCAAACATGCCTTTCAAACTTTGTTTTATCTAGCACATCTCCTCCTTGGTGTTGGGATTTCATTTTCCATCAGTATTTTTTCAAAATGATTTTTTAAAATTTTTGAGTATTTTTTATTATTTTTTGTAAACATATATATTTTTTGGTTTGTTTGTAGTGATTGTATTTTATTTTATGCCATATTTATTCAGTTACAGAATCAATTAACAAGTCCAAACAAGCTGTTGCCTGTTTCCAAGGATAGAATTCTAGGCAATTCAGTTGAAAAGGTACTTTTATAAAAGTTACTTAACACATAACATTATTTTTGTGTTGCTCAGTTAAGAACAAAATTTACATTAAATATATACATGTTATGTATATGTTGTTATGGAAGTATTATGCACCACATACATGAGCATATCCATATATATGGTGCATGTGGTGCATGCCTCTAAATTTAGAATTGTGAAAATGTTTTACTTTTTGCCTAAATTGTTTAACAAACATTGCCTTACTATTTTAATTATACAGCATGTAATGAATCGTGAATTTGATTTGGAATCAGAAATTTTAAACAAAACAAAATGCATGCTGTCGTGTCTTCTTTCTTTCTGCCATCAACTTTGCAAGCTTTCCATTTACAGCATCAGTTCTTGAAATATTTTACATGGGCAAAGGGAAGTTATGCAAGAAATGTGAATGCTACTGAAAGGAAGATTTTATTGTTTATTATTGAATTTGGTGTGGTTTATTATTATTTCTTAGGTAAGGTAAAGGCAAGTGTTCTGCTTTGGGATTTACTTTGTACTATATATTTTAGTTAAGATTGGTTTATTTCTAAGTTGCTTTCAAAATTTGATATGATAATGCATTAAATCATAAAATTAAGGTGTTTAGTTTTGAAGGATAAGGGCAAAGCATGTGAATGGATATGGGGAGGGAGACATTTGTAGAAGACTGTCTAAGGGAGACTGGCTCATATCCATGTTACATATAAGGGAAAGCACAATAACGGCGATATAACCAGGTCATTCATTGGGATTTTGACCTAAATTGAGCTATCAGTGTTCAGCGATTTGACCACTCTGCTGCTGAGTCTAAAATTAAGTGAAGTATAAATGGAGGAGCTAAGGCTCAGCATAATATTCATAAATTTGCAGCAAATTTATATTATATTATTGGTGTTAGGTAATGAATTTGTCAATTTCTTTGGGAAGAGCAAAATGGGTAAACTTGAGCAGCTGAAAAAGAAAATCCTCCATTTAAAAATGTGATCCTTTCAGGAAGAGGAATTTTTGTAGATTGTACTCATTTAACCAAAATGACTTCAAAGCAAATTTGAAGGCAAAATAAAGATGCAGTTTGATCTGAATGTGAGAAATCTTATCAAAACACCATATTCTCTTCAACATAAGCCAGAATTTTTTTTTTTTTAAAGAAAGCAAATGAAAGTTAGAGGTGCAGCTTATACATATGAATGGTTAGAAATCGGTACATACAAATATAGGCAATACAGCAGCATGTGCAACACAGCAGTGCATATTTAACGATTGATTAAAGGATTTTTAAGAATGGAATATCCACTGATTTAGATAGCTAAGCACCTTTTCTGGACTTAAGTCTAAGTCCAGAAAAATTATTACAGTACAAAGTCCGAAAGCTGGGCATCCAATATCCAGAATGATATAAAATCCAAACCTCTAGATCTCCAGTGACCTTTTTTTACGCATTATACTTGCACATTTTATATATATTTTTTCATAATAGAACTTGTGGAGAGTGCCGATTATTAATTTCCAATTTGGCACTGATACCATTGTACTGAATAATTATTTATTTTCATCCACTGCATGACTATCAACACACTGCAGCTAAGAAATGACTTGCACTGTAATGTCTGAACATTAAATTTTTTTTAATTAATTGGATATTAAAGAGCATCGAAACCTTTTATGTTCACATTATGCTTAATGATGATATAATAGACTTCTGCTGTGAAATGTTGAGTGTGTTGACAAAAAGAAATTTCTTTCATATGTAGGCCAGATTACATTTGATGCTGTTTGAATTGACAATAACTAATTTGTTCAGTTAAGCTCAGGAACTGTGCCAAACCTGGTGTGGCTGCATTGGGCACCAAAATCTAGGGTAAAGCAAAATTTTTAGAATTTGAAGAAGCACCGAGCAACAAAATAAAGAGAAGGCACTGGGAAGCAAAAGTTTTAGAACTTCGGGAGGTGATTGTTAGCAGAATTTAAACTTGAAGAGACTGCATCAATCTGCAAAATGCCTAACCACCTCTCTGGATAAGCCTTAAGTATGTACGGGAATATTCATAAATATAATAATTAAATAAGCTAGTATTATTCAGGACTTAGCATCAGCATGTGATGTTAAGCCTACTGAGCCGACTGAAGACAGAATAACATGTCTTTAGTTGCCAGTCTCCAGGATACGTCAGTTGTGTATAGCAGTTAGGCAAGCTTTATGATTATAGTTACGAATTTGAAGGTTTTCACATGAAAAACGAAAAAATTTTCTAGTAAATGGAATTTGTAAAGAAATATGGAAAAGTTGTAATAAATGAAGATGATATAACAGATTTTTTCATTGTGATGCTTGTGCATCATGTTGTCTGTCTATAAACTTAATGAGAAAGTATTAGCACAAAAACAAAGCAAAGTAGCAACATACATTGAAAGAAATAGTTAATGAATTGAGCAAATAAATATTCAGCTTTTTTGTTTTATAAATTTTGATCCTTTTAAGTTCATAAATGCTTCATAATTTCAGATGTCATTATTTCATATTTTTAATTTTATAATTTCTACGTGTCATCTGATGACATCTGATTTAACCATTTGACTGCTGTTGTGTAATTTGAAGAAAAAGGCTAGAGGGCGCTGTTGCCTCGCTTAGTTGTAAGAGAATAAAGTTTGTTCATGTTGAAGGCGGCGGCCTAAGAATACGCTCTGTATATAGTAATTAAAATATTGTCAAAAATGAAAAAGTGTTAAAATTAGTAAACCCACTGAACCACCATCATCTGATTTGGAGATGTACAAAATTATTAGAACTGCTAAGCAATTCTTGCAAGAATGCAGGAGAACTGCGGGACATATTTTGACTTGATTTTGTCTGGTATAAAATTTTTTTATCTTCCACAGACCGGCTGTTTGCCATTTGGTGAAGATTAAAATATTTAATTTTTATTTCAAATTTGATATAAATCTTTTTCTTAATCTAGGCAATAAAGGCAGTTCTTTATCTCTGTTATTAACTACCAGCTGACCCCATGAAATGGCACTACCCAGACCCATTGAAAATTTTACATATATATATATTTCTTTTTATAGTAACTAATAAAAAATATGTAGATGGAGGAAATAAGTGCTGCTTTCAAAGCTGTTCCTCAAATTTTCAATTAGGATACCATTGATGCTATCCTAATGAATTCCTCAATGCCACACTTTTTTTAAATGTATTTGACGTAATTAAAGGCCATTATCAACCAGCACTTTAATCATTTAACTGCTTCACTGTTGATTTAACTGTTGATTTTGAAGGTGATATGATTTAGGTCCCTTTTCTTCAGTAGCAAACAATTTTTGCTTCTAAACTTAAAGCACTAGTTGCAGTTTTAAAGGATGCTTAAATCATATTATTTTTATGTTGGCAAGGAAGGTAACTTTATTTTTTAAAAGTTAGTATTGTATCTGAGATTTGTGATTTCAGGGTAAGGTTTCATGATGGAACTATCCTTAGGGATGTATTCTGTACATTTATAAATATGACATTTCATGTAATAATTTATGTTTAATAGCGTCTTTAATTTTATTTGCTTTTTTTAAAACTATGGTGAACTTGTTAATGTGCTGCTGATATGAACAAAGCATTGTGTGGCTATACAAAGATTATTTTTTTATTCGATTAGGATCTCTTCATAATTTAATTTTTAAATAGTACCTGTCAATAAAAATCACTTTTGTACTAAATTATGTGGCAAACAATAATAATTATTAAGGAAATTGTACTTACTGATATTATTTTATCAGTTTCCTTTCTCATTAATTACGAGAGCCATTGTTGATTATTTATTCATTTTCTTCCTTTGCATCATGGGATAAATTTCTCTTTCACATAGTAAGAATCTTCGGAATGTAATTGTTATTATACTCTGAAACATTTCTTTACATGGGACTTTCTACAAACAGTGCATTTTTATTTAATGAGGTGGAAATCAAAACATGCAGAGTATTCCTTCAGTAAGTTATGATGATGTTTTAGAGCTGGTGACACTCCTGTTATAGAGTAAAAAAATTGTAATGTAGGCATCACATGACTTCCTTGTATGGCCAATTGAATTTTACATATTTTAGCTGAAAATTTCATTTAAACTTATTTCTTCGAATTTTATTAGAGATATATTTCTCATTCAATTAATTCATTTCTCACTTCACAATTCAAAAATGTATTCAAACTCAAAACATCTTCCTTAAAAATTGTAAAATACAGAAAAACATAAAACACTAAACACAGTTAGAAAAGTAAAAATAAATAAATAAATAAATATCACACTTAAAATTACAGTTTCAGTACAAAAACAAGTCATTCGGCTAGCGGGCAAGAAAGTAGATTTTTCACTGAAAGTTTACTTTTGGTTCCACTTGGGAAAAAGACCCTAAAATTGGTGGAGAAATGATTTAATTCACAATTCTACCAACAGTTTCAAATGTAAACAAATGGTGGCTTTATTAGGCTTAATCACAATTAAAGAACTTTTAAATTGTTGATAATTCTACACCTTTGCATGCAGATTAACTAAAGGCACGGGACTACAAGAACAACATACCTTACCAGAACCTTAACCAGAACATAGGAACAACATAATTCAATCACTATTAAAGCAAAAAAATGTACAATTTACAACATATAATAGTAAAAAAACTGACCTCACCGAGCTAGGCAACTGAGTGGGTATATATATGTATACTTTTGGTGTTGCCGATTGCAACCAAAAGGAGAGGTCCACAATTACATCTTATAGCAGTCCTATGTACTGAGGCTACTCATTTTTTAGTTATGTGAGATACATAATGTATGTACAGACATCACGAAAAAAACCTCTTCTGAATCCGTTTTAAATCCATTTTACAATTCGTTTTGGGAAAAAGAGTCCTTTATTCTTTCCGTACATACAGATGTCGTGAAAAACATCAATCAGATGAATTCAAGAGCGGTATTAATGGATGTTTTTGTTTGAAATATGATATCTAAAATTTTTCGTGATAACAATAAAGCAGGTTCTGAAAATCAGATGCAGTGTTTGGCATTGCAGAGCTGAAAATTCTGTATTAAAAAAATGAGGATAAGTAAATACTAAATGGTAGCTGAGAATCTGTGTATTGAAAGTGAATTTTAAAAATCTGGGAAAGACCTATTGCTGTTTATAGAGATTGTATATAGCACAAGATAGTTGGAAAATAGCATAAGTGTACAGGGAAAATTTGTAAGATGATGCATGCTATGAGGAAACTGGAAACAGGCTGCTGGAAAAAACATTAAATCATACAAAGTAGTATATAAATGCTAAATTAAAACTAAAATTAAGAATGCTAGAATAAATATGCAGCTTAAAAAAATAGAAATAATGCATGCCATGTAGTTTCACCTTCCAAAATTAAGAAATGCTGAAATGTACTGGTAAACAGACTGCATTAGTTTCTGAGCTTGTATTTTTTATGTGGAATCCACTTTGAATAAGACAGATTATATCAGAAGACTAATTCTATCAGCAATGCAAAGACTGTTTTAAAAAAAGGTACAATGTAATCCTTAATTTAATTATTTAAATCCTTAATAAATATGATTATTGTTTTTTATTATCTTGATATCAAACAGAGTTTACAACTTCTTTATGTTTATTTACTATTGGTACTTTTTAATAACCCTTGTTTTTAGCTCAGATTATATTAATTATGGTCATTATCATTTATGGTCAATTATGGCATTATCATTTACTTATTTATTTGTGAGATGTGCATAATAAGATAATGTAAAAATCTCTTTCAGTTTGCTCAACCAGTTAGCAATTCATCTATATCAACTATACCAGCAGTCTCAAGCCAACAAATATTACAAGTAAGAGTGGGAATAATAATAATAATAATAATAGTAATAATAATAATAATAATAATAATAATAAATTTAAAAATAAAAAAAAAGCTACTTTAAACTATAAATCACATTTGAGAAAAAGCCCTTGTGCAATTAAAAAAAAAAAATCTTATTTTCCTCTGTTTATATGTAATCTTATTTTTTATTTTAATTGCAGTGTAAAAATAATAAGTTCAAGAAATGCTATGTGAAGCTTTCCCTGCTTTAAGAGACTAGACCATTGCTCAGAAACTTTTCACGAGTTAAAGTTTTATGAACTGAAGAGCAAAATATTATTAATTTACATCAGAAACATGCCCGCCCCCAGGCTTCAAAAAATGACTTTATGCATTTACCAGTTTAGGATTTATTCATTATACCAAATATTGCATAAGTTCTAAATAATAAAACAAGTGCAATATGATAAGTATACAGCCCAAATATCTAAAAATAAAGTTTGTGGCATAGTTGAACATTTTGAATTTGGAAAGACAACATAGTAGGGTTAAATCTGTGATAGCACATTAAACTTAATTATTGGATATTAGGTAATGGGAGATGGAAAAGTTTAAGCTACAGAAGGAAAATGTTCTAGTATAGAATCTTGCAGGCTGTTTTATGCATACAGTTTGTCTGTATGTCGTACTGCAGAGTGTCAAGCTTTGCTGTCTGCTGTGGTTGTGAAAGGCTAAATGTGTGATGGTATATTTGGCTTGTTAGACTAGCACTTTTTTTAAGTTCTTTGTAACACTAACAGTTCTTTGTAAGCAGTCAAAACATCAATGAAATCTGCATGCTGTTTTAAAAAGAAGTATTATTATTATTTTTTTTTCATTATGTAAAGTAAAAATGCACAACTTTTTTGCTTTTCATTTTTTTTTTTTTTTTTTTGAAATAATTTGTGGCATAGTTGAACATTTTGAATTTGGAAAGACAACATAGTAGGGTTAAATCTGTGATAGCACATTAAACTTAATTATTGGATATTAGGTAATGGGAGATGGAAAAGTTTAAGCTACAGAAGGAAAATGATCTAGTATAGAATCTTGCAGGCTGTTTTATGCATACAGTTTGTCTGTATGTCGTACTGCAGAGTGTCAAGCTTTGCTGTCTGCTGTGGTTGTGAAAGGCTAAATGTCTGATGTTATATTTGGCTTCTTAGACTAGCACTTTTTTTAAGTTCTTTGTAAACAGTCAAAACATCAATGAAATCTGCATGCTGTTTTAAAAAAAAGTATTATTATTTTTTTTTCATTATGTAAAGTAAAAATGCACAACTTTTTTGCTTTTCATTTTTTTTTTTTTTTGAAATAATTTCTTCGAACTTATTTTATAAACTGAAAGAAATACTAATGTGTATCTTTTGTAAAAGCAAAGTGGTGTAAAATAAACTTTTGTAATTACTGGAAAAATGTATCATGTTGTAATTAGAACTAAAAGCAAGATTAGTTTTTATGTATAGCAAATGTATATATACTTTTTTCCGCTAAAGCATGATGTACCATAATTTCAGGGAGCCATGCAACCGATGAATCCAAATACCGTAGTACTACCACCTGGGCCAAGTCAGCAATTCCTATCTCAGGTTAAAACTCTTTATAACTTTAAAAATTCAGTGAATCCTGTGTTTTTAAGATACTGCAAGTTTTAAAAAAAAGTTTTTATTAAATAAGTGTTATTTAAAAAAAAAAAAAAAAAAGGTTTATGAACAAAAAATTTTCTTAAAATTTGTCTACAGTTTTATATTGTGAGTAATAAAAAGTATGGAGCACTGCCCCTAATAATTAATAAATATAAAAGACTTATACTTTCAACAGTGCATTTTGAGTACTAGATGATTGTTACTGGCTATTTTATGAATTCTGGAACTCCAGAGCTTAGATGCAATTGTATTGAAGAAAGGTGGAATTAGACTGTACATGATAAAGTTGGATCTTAGTACTGAAGGCAGTAACTGACATTTATAAGTCCTTAGTATTGCTGTCTTATCAATTATCCTATTGCTTGAAAGGAAATCACTAATACCAGGACATATCTTCATTTACAGAGTGCCATGGAAGCTAACCTTCTTCTTCATGAAAGCTAGCTTTTGTTGAATATTTTATTTGTTGTGGGTCCAATTCAGAGCATTTTTAATAAGGGCATAATATATGAATTTTAATCAATCACTTTGTATTATAATATCACAAATAGTTGGAGATCATCAGAATGTATATCTTTTAATAGTTTAATAATTTTCTAAAATGATTTAAGAGATTTTTTTTCTCTCCTTTACATTTGTATACATAAATTATTTTTTAAAGTTTAGTTGATTTTAGTAATAGTATGGGAAATACAGTACAAAGTCCGAGATCTGGATGTCCAATATCTGGATTACCTCAAAGCCACCACCAACATTTTTTTTTTTTTTTTTTTTTTTAAATCCTATGCTTTACCCATGCACATTTGATTCCCCCCCATAAGACATTCTTAATTTCACTTTGGCATTAAATAAAATACCTATTTATTAAAAAAAATCATTTTAGCATAAATTTATGTGACCAATAATTTGACTCCTTATCTGCATATCTACTTGGCATACATCTCAAAACAAAACATTCTACATAGAAACTTCCTTGACAGCACTTAATATTTTATATCCTTGACCCTAACATGGTGAATCATTATTTATTATATTTGGCTTTCATCTCCATATGTTTATCAGCAGAACAACTTGTGTAATGAATGACTCATGCAGGGATGCCTAAACAATAAATTTTTTTATATGTATTAGTAATTGAATAACTAAGAGTATGGTAATTTTTTCTGTTGACATTTTTCTTGGGGATGATTACAGATTTAAGTTAAGTGCTCTAAGAAATGTTGACTAAGAAAAATTTAACAAACATTTCTTTCCATGTGCTAAAAATAGATTTAGTTACTGATACTCATAGGCCAAAAGATTACATTTAGTGTTATTTGAATAAAGAATAACTGATTTGTTATTCACAGAAACCCAAAACTTACACCAGAGCTTATATGGCCACACCAGGGGTGAAATTTGGGGTAAAGAAAAAAAAAAAAAAAAAAAAAAAATTGAATTAGAGAAGAGCGTTGAAAACGGCTTGGTCTAAAAAAGTAAGAATATTTTTTGTAATATTTTCCCCCCACTCTTTCTTCCTACTTGATAACTAGAAAGGTATTGATCTACAAGATTCACACTTCCCATTTTTTATTGTAGTCAATTACTACCTTTGGTTTTGTTTTCAGTTTTCTATTTTGTCATAACTTCAACAGTTTTAGAATCATGAAATGATAATAACATTGTTACTTCATTTTTGCCCTTCCATTTGACGCATCTGTTTGGTAAGTCAAAAGGATATCGCATAATTCTGGTGAAGTATACTAATTATCTAAGGTGATGCACAAGCCTTGTTTCAATAATGGTATCATCAGAGTCATAACAACTTATGAAGGTACCGATAGAGATAGGAATTTAGCATGAAATGAAGTACCTTTCCCAGTATGTGTAATAAATGACCATATATAACCTGAACTAGATTTAGATTCGCTTAGCATATATATGTTGATACCAAATTTTGCTTTTTTTCAAGGGTTTTATTGGCACAGAATAAATGTTCTAAAACCTTCAGCTCAGCATTACAGCATCAGCATCAGCATTTCATCTATGGTAATATCGCTTTCTGAAGTAATTGTTTTTTTTATATACTTTATTCAGATGCTCACAGATAAGTTACATTTTGCAGAGTTTCGGTTTAGGATGATTTTCTGGGTTATAAGAATAATTATTCACAATATGCAAGTACAGTACAAAGTCCGAGATCTGGACTCGTCGGGACTTCCGCGATTCCGGATTTGGAATTTTTCCGGATATTAGATCATCAGTTTAAATCTAGTAAGATGGCATGTAGAAATTATAAAATTAAAGATATGAACATGTGATTTGTGAAATCATGAAGCATTTATAATCTAAAGGGTATCAAAATTTACACACACACACACACGTACAAAAAGGAAGCTTTATATTTATTTGTTTACTTTAGTAAACATTTCTTTCAATGTAAGTTGCTTTGTTTTTTGTGCTAATACTTTCTCTTAAATTCTGTAGACAGATATAATTTCTTGTTTAGTTACACTGTTGAAGTTCTGTAATTGCTGTGTCGAATTCGTTTTCAGTAACCTCTGTGTCCTCTTTCTTCACTATCAGAAGCGGTATTTTCTGGATTTAGAACCATACTACAGATTTCGCCATCCATTAATTGAATGATGATTGAGGAGCATTGTTATCACAATGAAAAACTTCTTTTATATCATCTTCATTTATTACTGCTTCTCCACGTTTCTTTACAAAATCCATTAATTGGAAAATTTCACCTTTGGTTTGCGATATCTGAAAACCTTTAAAATTTGTGGCTGTCATCATAAAATTTAGCTATCGTTCACTATGCATGTTTGGCTATGTATCATGAGATTGGCGACTAGAGTAGTTCTGCTAAATTTTTTTTTCCTTCTATCACGCACTGAGACAATTAAGCTTGAATTGTATTAGTTTAGTTATTTATTATACTTATGTTTATTTCTTACACATGTTTAAGGCTTATCTGAGTCCTGAATAAATAAATTCTCACTTATACTTAAGGCTTATTGAGGGCCAGCGCTAGGTTTCTTGCTACTTGATGCATTCTCTGTGGGTCCTAAATTCTGCTACCAAGCGCCTCCCTTTGCTTTCCCTAAATTCTGCCGCCCAGTGCGTCCATACGATGCTTGTTCTGTGTTTTTGTAAATAAGAAATCAGTTATGCTTAATACAAATAGCACTAAATGTAATCTTTCAGTAACAAATTCTATTTTTAGCATATGGAAAGAAATTTTTATTAAAGTTTTCCTCGTCAACATTTCTTAGAGCATTTAAGTTAAATCTCTAATCTTCGCCAAGTGTAATGTCAACATAAAAGGTTACCATACTTTTTATTATTCAGTTACTAACATAAAAAAAGAAATTATTTAGGCATCACTACATGAGTCATTACTCAAGTTGTCATTTGTTGATAAACGTAAAATATAACAAATAATGATTCGTCAGGTTGCCGTCAGGGATATAAAATATTAGCAGGTGTAAAATCAATGGTGTATGTATTTTGAATGTTTCGTTTGAGATGTATGCCAAGCAGATATGCAGTAACAGAGCCAAATTATTGATCATACAAATTTATGCTAAAAGGATTGTGTCAGACCTCGCACCCGTTCAGACACGAGGCGGGTTCTTTTCGTGCATTCACCATAACAGGAAAATAATCTTCATCAGCTTTGAAACTTTATCCACTAATTTATTACACATAACGGTACACAATATTCCACAAAACAAAATCACTGTTATCCATAAGAAAAAAAAAATACTATATACGATATAAAGCACACAAAAACATGTTTTAGTTATCTCCTTTCAAACGGCATGCTTGCCGGGTCCACTCCAAAAGTTCCCAAGGTCTCCTCGTCACTCCACCAGTCTGAGTCGACCGGTTTTTCCAGTTAGCTACGTCACTTCCTTTAATTGTCTTTCAGCGTAGAGGAGAAAAAGTTTCAAAAAAGTCTTCTGCTAAGGGAAGGAACTTCACACCTCCCCTCTGGTTTATAAATATTTCTGACTTAGTCGAAAAATTTGAAACCATCATTAGTTCGAACCTTACCAGGTAATCCCTCTTTCCCTGGGCACAGCACAAGTAAACACAGTGGAACAAAATAGAGAGAGAGAGGGGAAAAAAAAAGTCATGCTACCGTTATAAACAACCCCCCCCCACACACAATAAATAAATAAATAAATAAACATAAAAACTGCACATGTCCAAATTTCTATAGCAATACAAACAAAACATTGCAATATCAAAACAACTCTCTGACACTTCTGTAATGAATAATTCTTTTACTAGAGCTACCATAATAACACAGTAAAACAATAATGACGTATTAGTAGTGATATTACCTATTCTAGAGTAACCAGAATAATACAATAAATAAATAAATAAATAAATAAACGTTACAATATCCATGTACTCTTTGACATATTAGCATTGAACATATCTTTTCTGGTGTTACAATAACAAACACACACACACACACACACACACAAAAAAAAATAATAGAGATTTTCAGAAATATTTGTCATGCAAGCTTTCATGCCTACATCACCAGTAAAACTAAATTGGCTAGGAGCGTGAGAACTTGAATCAATTATACACCACTGTCGAACACTCGAAAAATCTTCCTCATCGCTTGAATCATCTTTTGAGCTTGAAATACTGTGAACAAAGTCTTCATCAGATTCAAAACTTGATAAGCTTTCTGTATCACAATCATAATCATCCTCATAGCTATCTAACTTTCGCTTTTGAGCCATTTTAATGTACAAACACCCTAAAAACCGCACCAAAATACGTATAAAATGAACAAGGTCAAAAAAAAAATCCACCTTCATTATGCAAAGAAATTCATGGAACTCGTACTGCCATCTGTAGATGGTAAAAAATAAGTATCTCTTTGCCACCAGTTTGGATTGTGCTGTGGTTCGATTTTTAAACTCAATCGTCCATGTGGCTTAAACAGCGACGCTTAACTAAGGTTAACCTGATACTGTGGGATCCTACCTTCGCACATTTAATCTCCCCGTCAAACACTACATGGAAAGATTTGATTAATCTGCTCAACTGATCCCTTTGTGACCTAT